GACTCCGACCGAGGCCGCGAGAGGCGCACCAGCCGGAGGGGCAGTCTCTAAATTACAGCCCGTCAGGAGGACTCGGAAACACAAAAAGGGAGTCGAAAGATTTAAACAGTCGGAGGCAGAGGCATCCCGAGGCGGCCAAAGAGAAAATCAATCACGTAATTAAAATGGGGTGGGGGGCGAAGCCCGGGGCTGGGGGTCCCAGGGTCCGAGGAGGCTGCTAAGGTGCGGGCCACAGCCGGCAAGAGGCTTGGGGATGTGGCTTGCCGGCCGCGCCCGGAGCGCGCCGAGGGGCTGCGAGGAAGTTTGTAACAGATCGCTATGGATTCCCGCTTGTCTGGGAAGAGCAGACCGTGTACCCTCTACCAGGCCGGATCCTGAAGACGCCGATGGCCCCTTCTCCGGCTTCCCTATTTTCTTGGGGTTGAGACGCCAGTTGCAGTTGAAGGCTGCTCCCCAGATCCCAGTGGTGCCACGGATTTGCCGAGGCAAGTTTGAGAACTCAGGTGGCATCAAGATGCTGCCCCTGGGTTTGAAGGGATGGAGGGAGGTGGCACCCCATTTCAGGCACTTACATATTTCCCTGAGCCTTGATTTCCCCAACCCAGGACTCAGGGATTGCTTTTGGAAGGACTCCAATCTATGAGCAGAGGCTTGGAAGGGGGGGGCCAAGCCGGTTGGCTTATTGAAGGGGGAACTTGGGGCTAAGCAAACTGGACTCCTTTGGGCAGGGAAGAAGGAACAATGCCTGCAAGAAGAGAGAATAAGGCACCAAGCCGGTTGGCTTATTGAAGGGGGAACTTGGGGCTAAGCAAACTGGACTCCTTTGGGCAGGGAAGAAGGAACAATGCCTGCAAGAAGAGAGAATAAGGCACAAGGGAGCTCTGTTTGTGTAGAAAAAAAAATGTTCTTGTTATTATTAAGGTTAATAATGGTAATGATCTGATGTGGCTGGGTCAGTCTGAGGAGACCGCGTTACTTGGGTCCTTTCTCACAGGTTTCTCTGGAGGAGCCAAGGGTTCCCCAACTTGGCTGTAGTTGGGAGAGCATAAAATAAACACCTTCCCTTCTTCTGCCCCAATTGGTGAGAATTCCAGAAAAAGGAGACTCACAAAGTCACCATCACCCCCATCATTTTCCTCTGTGCTCTCTTCTGTTTACTAAAACGCACCATCTTCAGGCATTGAGCTTTCCCCTAGCACCCTTCCTGTGAAGAAGCAGAGTTCATTTGGCAATAGTTCCGGGCCAAGACCCTATGAAAGCTGACCTAGAGGGAACCCAGGCTTCCCTCGCATACTCATGGATGGCATGTCCCCTCTATCCCTAGCCTTCCCCACTCTCTGCCTTCCTGGGATGTGGGTACCAGATGCCCTGAGTCTCTGGCAGCTGAGAGGCCAAGAACAGCCTAAGGCACCTTGAGATGCCCTCAAAAGCCCCCCAAAGAGTCACCAGTTTATCATTACCTTAATTCTAGGACCAGGGAGCCCTTCATAAACTAACCTAAGGCCAGCCTAATTTTTGAGATATTTTCAAGCCACATTTAGGCTCCTTTAAAAGTAAAAGTCCTCTCCATCAACAAGAAAGTTCAGATTACAAACCTCCAGCAGGGCAAGCTTCCTGCATCCACGTGTCAGAATTTTCAACAACAACAACAACAACAATATTTACAGTAAGAATTAAAGCTTACATCAAAGGGAGAAAGGGACACCCCAACCCAAGTTTTAAAGGAGACGTGTAGCAGCCTCTGATAGGAGTGGGGGTCAACGAGGCTGTGATGAGCAAAAAAGGGGTGGGAGACCCAACCTCTAACTAACAATTTCTCTAGCATAAAAATGAAACATCAAATTCGTTAGCCCAGGGCCTTCATTTTTCCCCTTCCACATTATAACTAGTTATTGAACTCGCTGGAAGATCTAAAGGCCATTTGCGAAGAGACAAATTTCAATGGAGTTTCCCCATCAATAACCCCATGGCAGTGACCTATTGGAACAAGTCAAACACCCGAGGTGAAATGCAGGTCACTCTGTCTAACCAATATTAAAATGCGGCCACTTTTTAAAAAGCCACTTTAAACGAGATTTGAGGAAAATTGAATTCCAAGGAAGGCAAGTCAAGGCGGGGGGAATCCAGAGAGGACCTTGCCTATGGTCTCCGAATAAACAAGAGAAATTCATCTTTAATATTTTAAAGGGGGTCAAATTAACATTCCATGATTGCTTTTTTTTTTTTTTGAGACTATAAGCGATTCCAGGAGGAAAAAAAAAGGTTGAGTATTTTCTGGTGACACGTCTGGGTTATTAAAATCATTTTAGACCAATTCATTACTTTTACTGACAAGAGATTTAAGAAAAAATCAATTAAGTATTTGCATATTCTTTTGCATACATTAGTCCTGCTGGCTGGCATTAGAAAAGGACAAAAATACACATATATTCACACCAACACACATACACACACAAAAGAAAAAAAAAGGAATATGAGTCTTGCTTTAGTTTGGGGGTTTCAAGTTGCCTGGAGGAAAAAAAAATCAAAATGAAATGAATTGCCTGATTGCATACCATCTAAAAGTCCATTTATTTGAGAGAAAGAAAAAAGACATTGTCATTTTTTAATCCCTAAAACAGCAACAAAACACAAAACAGATACACACATACATACACACACACACACACACACACACACCCAAGTCCTGCACTTGGAAAAGTGGGGTTAGGAATGACCCTTATTTTCCTTCTCTTTACCCTCCAAATCCTGACTTGGTTTTCCTATTTATTTTTCTCCCTCACAAAACCCAGAGAGTGTGAGAGGTGTGATTTTTAATGCAGCACAGAATCTGTGGAGCCGCTGAGGTCTCAGCCAGCAGCTTGTTACCGGGGAGGGGAGGAATATGGGTTATCCAACGGTCAGTATGGTAATCTGGGCACAATAAGGCCTCACACACAATGGACACATATTTTTCTTCAGCGGTGTCAGAAGGGAAGCGCTTTGTACTGAAACATGTTTCCGAAAGAGAAACCAGACCGAGATTTAGAAAGGAGGTGGGGTGGGGGTGGCATGCAGAGAGTGTTTCCACACTGGCAAAAGGTGGTCAGCAAAAATAAAAAATAAATTTGGGGCAGAGCGATGTGGAGGGCAGAGTGGAGGTGGAAGTCCTTGCGCTGGCAAGGCGGGAGGTGGGAGGGCAAAGCACAAAGGAAGACAGGACCAGATACAAGGACTCATCACTGGGAGAGCTGCTTTAGCACCCCCTTACCCATCCCAATTAAGCCATTGCTAAGTGCAGGAGCCTTCCGAAAGGATTTTCTTCTAATGCTTGCAATAATACCTAGGTGAAAATGTTTGTATGTATGTGTGTCGAGGTAGACTACTCAAGTGATAAGTGACTTCCCTCCCATATGAGCCCAAAGAGAGTTTTCTCTTTTTTCCTTTTTTTTTTTTTTTTTTTTGGTGAGTGATGAAGATGAGTGTAGGCCCATATGGGGTAATCTCCTAGATTTTACTTTCTCGATATGCATGTTGAATTAGCTGTGCAAACCTGCAATGAGAACCCCATGTATTTATGGTTGCATAAGGAGACATTTAATATATTAATAAATATGAATAGCATGAACGCATATATATTTGTTAACCATAATAACCAAAGACAGACTTGACACTCAGTTGGAGGCATCTGAACCCTCTGTGTCTATTCTGTCCACTCCTACTGGCCCAAAAAGGGTCTCCTTGACCCACCAGCAGGAGCTCAGAAACCTCTGGGGGGTTGTGCACCAGAGGCCCTCTTGGGAAGGATTCCCTAGAAAGTCTGGGAGGATGAAGATAGTAGAAAAAAAGGGTTGAAGTGGGGACAGAGCTGGTAGAAAGTATGTGTAAGGGTTGGAAGGGGGTGGGGGGAGCCAGGCTGAAAGCTCAGGTTTCCAAGTGGGAAACAGAATAGTCCCAGCTGGGATGGGTGGGGCAGCCATTTCCAGGTGTAGGCCTAAAGAGAGGTTGAGGTAGGGCCAGGAGGCTTTCCCTCCCCAGATCAACCCTCCCCCACCCTGCCAGAGCTTTCCGGAGCTTCGAACCTCCTCATGGGGCAGTCTCAGGCTATAGCTAAGACTTCTGTAGTTCAGGGTCCAGGGTCGGGTTTCCCTTTGCCCTCTTGCAGCAACTTATAATTAACCCATCCCACCACTAATAATTACAAAAATAAACAAAATGCTCACACAATGCCAATCACTACTAACCAAGCACAAGCATTCCCCATTCTCTTAGTCTCAAGCTCCTCTTCCAACCAAGCTAATTAGCCCTCACAAGCAGAGGGTCCCAGACAGGAATTGGCAAGGATTCTCATGCAACTTGGGAGATTTTGAAATCTCCCCTTCGAGATGGCGGCCCTCTATGGAACTCCTGTCCCCTCACTAACGCCTTCTAAAAGAAAAGATATTTAGGAATCTCCCCAAGTACCAGCTCCCGCTTAGTTAGGCACTGACCCTGGGGGGCCTGTGATGGACTTGGGGGCCTAAGCCTTGGAGGAGGGAGGTGGGAGGGGTCCAGGTGGGGCAGTGACTCCTTTGGGCTTGTCCTTGGCCCAGCTTCCCTCTCTTTCCAGCCCACAGGGAGAGCCCTAATTTGGAAGTGGGGACGCTCTCCTCCACCCAAAGGTTGATGAGAGAAGGGTTGGGAATCTCCTGCCTTCAGTCTCCCTCTCAGGAGGCTGGCTTTATTTTTCTCCTTTTCCCCTCCTCATTCCCTTAATTGCAGATGTTCTAATTAAACCCTCAAATAGTTGTTATGCCGTTTTAAAAGGTACTTATTCAAGTGTCAACCAGGCTGGGCTGGGAGGAGGCAGCGTAGGGCGGCGAATTAAAGGTAGATTGACTAATCACGGCGGCGATCATAATAATAAAATCAGAGGGAAAAAAATCACATTACGACTTTTCGTGGAAAGGAGGGAGCAGGCAGCCAGCGGCCGCCAGCCCTGCGCCGCCGCCCCAACGAGCGCGGGCGGTTCCGCCGACACAAAGAGTGCGGGCGATTCCGCGAGACTGATTTATGACGTTTTACAGCCCTATAAAAGCTGTAGCGACGAGGCAAGCGCTCCTACCACCGCTGGCAGATTTAGTCTAATAAATAAAACATAAACAGTTAACTTTATGTGTCACTTTTATTGTTATCAAGTAAAATATAGCTGAGCCCCGGCAAGCTATGATTTTAAACTATAATTGTTATCAAGTACAACAAGGGGACCCGGCTCCCTCCCTGGGCTCTCCCCTCTGCTACCCCCCCAACTCTGAGTTATGGATGATCAGTTAATTGGAATTGGTGGCATGACGTGGCCACCCCTAGCTGAGGGAGGGTGGGAAAGCATCCCTTTCTTGCCCCCTCCCTCCTCCTTGGTCCTGCATCTCCCCATCAGAGCATTCCTGTGGTGCGTGGCAGAGAGAGGGGAAAGGGTGGGGATGAACTGGGTACCCCCAAGGCAGGCTTTGCCTTCTCAGCATGGTGAGCCCACCCCTTGGTTTTTGGAAAGCAGCCTGGAGCTGGCTCTTGGGAATTCGTGTTTACATGTAAACACACGTGTTACATGGATACAGTCCCTGGCCCAACACAAGCAGGCTTTACTCACACAGGCCTCCTCTTAGCTAGGTCTGCTTGCTGTGAGGATGGAGAAGGAACTCCCAGGGCCTTACTGGACACCATCAGAGGGCACTGACATCTGGCAGAAAGCTCTCCTCCTTGCCCCAGCTCCTCAGGAGCGGCCTTGGAGGTAGTTGTCAGAACACAGCAGACATGGAGAGCGGGAACAGAAGCCAGCAGTAGAAGAGCTTGCTCTGGGGCTGGGGCAGGGAGGGTCAGTGGGTAGTAGGGGAGGGCAAGGCTTCTGAACTCTGCTTTTGCCAACCACTTCCTGTCTCTCTTCAGCCGGGGCTCAACCCCCAGACTTCCAGACATGACGTCAGAATCATTTGCATCCCGCTGCCTCTACCTGCCTGGTCCAGCTGGGACCCTGCCTGGCCGGCCCCTTGGCCAGAGGGTTGGGTGAGTGAACATGAGGAAGGGGAGGCTGGACTCAAGGTATCCTTGGATGGAGGGCACCCCAGGATCTCAGCCTCTTCTGCTCAGCCTGGGCCCCTCCCCATCCAACCTCTACTCCAGTCCTCCTTCAACTTCCTCTTCCTGCGAAAGAGGGGCGCTGCCCGGTGGTGACCTACACAGAGACACGATCGCCATGAAGGGGACCTCTGGAAATGCACAGGAGCCGAGGCCCACGGGCCCGCTGGAGGCCCAAGGGGAGACCCTGGGCGGAGGCTGAATCACCACCTCCTGACAACCCCCCAATGCCCAGGCTTTGGAGGGCAGCTTCCCCTCTCTTTTTGCAGGGGAGGGTTGTCAGTCTGGCGGGGTGTGCACTCGAGGCACCCCAGCCCCTGCCAGCTAACCCCAGATCACCCCCCCACACCAGCACCAGCACCAGCACCAGCACCACCACCACCACACACAAAAAAAATTGGATACATTTTGAATAAAGCGATTCGGTTCCTTATCCGGGGACTGGGTTGCTCCGTGTGATTGGCCGGCGGAGTCACATGGTGAAAGTAACTTTACAGGGTCGCTAGCTAGTAGGAGGGCTTTATGGAGCAGAAAAACGACAAAGCGAGAAAAATTATTTTCCACTCCAGAAATTAATGATCATGAGCTCGTATTTGATGGACTCTAACTACATCGATCCGAAATTTCCTCCATGCGAAGAATATTCGCAAAATAGCTACATCCCTGAACACAGTCCGGAATATTACGGCCGGACCAGGGAATCGGGATTCCAGCATCACCACCAGGAGCTGTACCCACCACCGCCTCCGCGCCCTAGCTACCCTGAGCGCCAGTATAGCTGCACCAGTCTCCAGGGGCCGGGCAATTCGCGAGGCCACGGGCCGGCCCAGGCCAGCCACCACCACCCCGAGAAATCGCAGCCGCTCTGCGAGCCGGCGCCTCTCTCAGGCGCCCCCGCCTCCCCGGCCCCCGCCCCCCCCCCGCCCCCACCCCCCCCAGCCTGCAGCCAGCCAGCCCCCGACCATCCCTCCAGCGCCGCCAGCAAGCAACCCATAGTCTACCCATGGATGAAAAAAATTCACGTTAGCACGGGTAGGCAACTTTGCTTTTTGCTCCCCCCTCCCTCCCCTCTTCCCCAGCGGCCCCCACCCTCCCTGGCCCCCTCCGGCCCCCGTCCTCCTTTCTCTCCTTCCCCCTCTCTCTCCAGGAGCGACTCTGGGTTAGCACAATTGAACTGGATTTACGAGCGAGAATGGGTAATTACATCCCCCATAAATTTTATGGCTTAGCTACTCTGGGCAGTCCGAGCCATGTGCTACGATCTGTTATGTATGTGTGAAAACTATGCTCGCTTTCTAAGGGCGCATAAATAATTCAGTGTCGTTACAATGAGGATTCCCCTCTTATTACACTACAAAGTCTCCAGCTTCCTTCTTCAACTTCTTTATAACCCATTTAGCTTGATGACTTTATTTCCACCACTCCCTCCTCCTGTTCCTCAGAGCTGAGGATGGGGTGAGGGTGGGGGGCGGGGAGCCTGCTGCCTCTGAACCCCACTATTTGCTTTTCCCATCCCCCTCCCCCCCCAGTGAACCCCAATTATAACGGAGGGGAACCCAAGCGCTCGAGGACAGCCTACACCCGGCAGCAAGTCCTGGAATTAGAGAAAGAGTTTCATTACAACCGCTACCTGACCCGAAGGAGAAGGATCGAGATCGCCCACTCGCTGTGCCTCTCTGAGAGGCAGATCAAAATCTGGTTCCAAAACCGTCGCATGAAATGGAAGAAGGACCACCGACTCCCCAACACCAAAGTAAGGTCAGCGCCCCCGGCCGGCGCTGCGCCCAGCACCCTCTCGGCAGCCACCCCGGGCACTTCTGAAGACCACTCCCAGAGCGCCACGCCGCCGGAGCAGCAACGGGCAGAGGACATTACCAGGTTATAAAACATAACTCACACCCCTGCCCCCACCCCACGCCCTCACCCTCCCCTCACACACAAATTGACTCTTATTTATAGAATTTAATATATATATATATATTTTGGTTCTTTTCTCTCTTCTACCCACCTTGTCCCTTGTCAATTCCAAACAGACACAACAGATAAACAAACAAGCCCCCTGCCCTTCTCTCCACTGTTAAGGACCGTTTTAAGCATGTGATGTTGTCTTAGCATGGTACCTGCTGGTTTTTTTTTTTTAAAGGCCATGGGGGGGGTTATTTATTTTTTAAGAAAAAAAAGCTGCAAAAAATATATATTGCAAGGTGCGATGGTCTGGTTTGGGTGAATTTCAGGGGAAATGAGGAAAAGGAAAAAGGAAAAACAGATTTTAAGCCAGTTCTCCTCCTTCTTCTCCTCCTCCTCCTTTCCCCCCCTCTTTCCTTAGGCCTTTTGCATTGAAAATACACCAGGGGAGGTTAGTGAGGGGGAAGTCATTTTAAGGAGAACAAAGCTATGAAGTTCTTTTGTATTATTGTGGGGGGGTGGGAGAAGGGGGGAAGAAGGCAGACAAAGCTAAATGCATCTGGAGAGCCTCTCAGAGCTGTTCAGTTTGAGGAGCCAAAAGAAAAATCAAAATGAACTTTCAGTTCAGAGAGGCAGTCTATAGGTAGAATCTCTCCCCACCCCCATCGTGGTTATTGTGTTTTTGGACTGGATTTACTTGATTATTGTAAAACTTGCAATAAAGAATTTTAGTGTCGATGTGAAATGCCCAGTGATCAATAATAAACCAGTGGATGTGAATTAGTTTTACGTCAATGTCTGATGGTTTCTTTTTATCCCCTCCTCCTTCTGGCCTGATAACATCCCACCTTCTGTATAGTTACCTTAAGTTTACTCTAAGCAAACACACAAATTGTAACTCTCAACTCCAGTTTTCCAGTGTCCTTAGAAGATTCAGCAAGGGGATTGGGGTAGGGATCTTCCAAAGAAGAGATGTGGACATTCCTGCCGATTTTTCCTCTACCCTTCCCTCCAAGTCTTGAGAGGGGTGAGACTCCCCTGGGGTACTTACAGTGAAGCTGAGAAGGGCCCTCTTACTTTTCTACAGTGAGACAGTCCCTTCTTTATGTCTCTCTCCTTTCTCCCTTCTCTCTGCTAAGTAGGACTGTCTAATTTGCAGACAAGAAGGCAAGTTTAGGGAGTGGGAAGGGAGAGAGTTTTTATCTATCAGGGCTCTTTGAGAATGAGGAATACAAGAATGTCCCCTCAATATTCCAGTTCTTCTTAAGAGAAGAAAGGTTTTGAGCTGGTGATTCTGAAGCAGCAAAGTGACCTGTCAGGAAGCCTTCTCTGTTTGTTTAGACTTGGAAAAAAGGGTGAAGTGGAGGCCAGAGGCCTGGCAGGCCCCTTTGCATGGATAGGCCTCAAAGGCTAATGCCTGGAGATAATGAAGAACTTTTATGTTTTTCTGTAACTTTTATCATGGACCTGCCAGGTGTTGAGAAGAGACTCTGAGAGAGAAAAGAGTCACTCCCTCTTCCTACAGTCTCCCAGGTCCTGGCAGAGCTTGGGGGTAGTCAGAACAAGGCTCTCTTGGCTGTAAACTATAAAATAAATATGCACATAACATAAATTTATTTTCTTGGGACCAAGAGAGGAAACAAACAAAAAAATTGTCCTGATTTACCCATTTGGATCCTAAGGCCTGCTCAGTTTTTTGCTTTCTTGTTGGGAGGTGGAGGTAGGGCAGTTGGTGATCTATTTCTTGGGCAATTTATCCAAATTTCAGGATGAAGGGCAAGAGAAGTAAAAGAGAGAGGGAGAAGAGATTTGAGGTGTGTAGGGAAGCCAGGATTGCCCTTTCCTCTGTTCCCAAATTCAAGAAAGAAAGGCGGCGGTGGGACCCAATTGTAAAAATCTGTTTGGTGTGCTTTGGATTTATTTCCTCTTGAAACACTTGCTGGCTGGTACTTGAAGTAAAGAGAGAGGCTGTATGTGTGTGTGTGCATTTCTGTGTGTTGGGGGAATCACTTAGTCCTTTAGGTCTACTTTCTCCTCCCTCAAGGATACCCTGGAGACAGCAAAACATGCTGCCTTTAGGGTGAGGAAGCAGGGCCAAAATTATCTGAAGTTATTTTATGCAATCAAGTGAACTAGGGGCCAAATCTGACTCTAGCCCCAATCATTGCCTTTGGGGCAGGACAAGGGGGCGTCTGGCCGTGCTTGGGAAAAGGGAAGGAAGGTCTGAGGGGTGGATCAGGATGTATTTTCAAGCTTGTAAAGGAGCTAAGATGGAAAATGGGGGGAGGGGTTGATTAAGATCCATAGTAGTTTCCTAAGTTTGCTCATTTGGTTCTGAGGGAGTTTATCCCTTCTCCTCCTGGAAGAGGAAGAGATGGGTGAGGAGGGGAGAGATCATGATGTTTTATTTCTTAAGTTTCTCCCTGAACTTGCTGAAGGGACACTCTTTAGTTCAGGCTAAGTAGGATGAAAGGATTTAGACATTTATTTTATTCTCCCTTCTAGACGGGCTTCCGTTTGTCCTTCCTCTCCTCACACACACGCAGTCATTCTCTGTGCCTCTCTTTCTGTTCTTGGTCTGCAAAGAAGAAACATAAGAAGTCCATAATTCTTGACAAATGAAACAAAACTAAAATCCTTTACATTTGAGTTTTTGAAAAATTTGGCCTGTGGTCCTTCCTCCAGTGAACTCCTTTTTCTCCCCTTTCTCCAAAGCTCTCCTTTGCCTCAGACCTGACCACCCAGAATGGGCTCAGGCTTCAGGGCAGAGGTAAGGGATGGGCCAGAACCCCAAACTCCAGCAGTCTGGGTCACCCCTGCTCAGCCGGTGCTGCCACAGCCTTGCCGGGGAGCTGAGGGCTGGGCTTTTATTGAAGTTGGGTTGAGCAGTGGGGAAAGGCTGGGGGGAGGACACAGCCCAGGTTCACGGGGAGGACACTGCATTTTCTCTCCCAATGCCTTTATATTCAGCAGCGCCTCTGACCTCTCCCCCACCCCCATCTCAGGCCCTCCCAAGCCAGTCCTTGCGCAGCCCCTGGACTCCTGTAGGATGCCACTGCTTTTGTAGGACTGGGGGTTTCTTGCCCAGAGTAATGGGAGAGGCAAGGCGCGGGAATGCGTGCTAGCGCATTGTATCGCTGTCTCTTCAATGGCTAAGTCAAAAGAAGACCGGGTGAAACCGCGACACTAATCTTCTAAGGTCCTTCTCTCCAAGCACCCGGAGATCCCCACGGGGCCAAAACTCCCCTTGCCATGTAAGTAGTTAGCACCCAGATCTGCACTGGGGCGAGGAGCACCAAAGTTTAAACTTTCTGTGTTTGCCACTCCATTTTTGTTTCATCTCTGGTCTTGGGGAGGGAAGGCGGGAAATCCAGTTGTGAGGGGCTCTGCCTGGGGGAAATGGAGTTTCTGTGCTAAGTCTGTATGCCTAGCAATGAAGAAACGTGGCTCAAAAGAGAAAAAGGCCAAGAAAGTGAGACTTGGGAAGAGGGACTGGTGCACTTAGTTTCTGAGGGCCTCTTTTGTGAAGTTTCCTACAAAGTTTCCTCTGCAGTCTGTGCGTCAGTTTTCTTTCTGTGTGGACTCTTTGGTTTGAGGTCCAGAAACATCTTCCTAGTGTTTAGGTGTGTGTGTGTGTGTGTGTGTGTGTGTGTGTGTGTGTGTTTGGAGGAGTGATAGGAAGATAAAACAATTAAGGGCTTTGCCTGAGCCTGGGGCCAAGATACGCTCTGCTGGCCAGTCTACCTGCTTTTCTAGATTTAGGGGACACTGACTTCTGACAGGGCACTTGAAGTAGAGGGTGCTATGATGTGGAGGGCAGTGTGCTGGGGCAATTCCATCATCTTTTTCTCTGCTTTTTGGCCCAGCTCTCAGGAGACATGGTAGTGCCTTTTCAAAACCATTTCTTCAGATTTTCCGCCATTTCTGTCTGGTACCCCACCTTTGGAGAGATTATTTTAATTAAAATGCTCCCCTTCCAAGAGACCCCTTCCTGGCTTGGAAAAAGTGATGGAGGATCCCCCAACTCCAGCGGCCACCAGAGCACAGGGAATATTTATTACCTCTCTGGATGTCATTACCTAAGAATACAATTTTATGAACTTCCTAATCTGTTAGCTTGATTTATCTGGATGGGCAGGGGCCCAAAATAAACATTGGGGGATTTAGTGGGAAAAATGTCTTTGCCTCAACCAGTCTTTCTGATAGAACTGACCACTTATCTCAGCCTGCTTTTTCTGCACCCCGTATCGTATCGCTAGCCCCATTTAAATTTTTCTCTAAGCCTGTGACTCAGACACTCCTGGTATCTGAGTTTTAGCCGCCTTTTGATAATTAAAAATGGTGGGGTACACAATTTTAATCAGAGACCAGAGGGATCCCTCAGATATCTTAAAACCTGTGCAGCTCATGTGTGTGTGTGTGTGTGTGTGTGTGTGTGTGTTTGGAGGAGTGATAGGAAGATAAAACAATTAAGGGCTTTGCCTGAGCCTGGGGCCAAGATACGCTCTGCTGGCCAGTCTACCTGCTTTTCTAGATTTAGGGGACACTGACTTCTGACAGGGCACTTGAAGTAGAGGGTGCTATGATGTGGAGGGCAGTGTGCTGGGGCAATTCCATCATCTTTTTCTCTGCTTTTTGGCCCAGCTCTCAGGAGACATGGTAGTGCCTTTTCAAAACCATTTCTTCAGATTTTCCGCCATTTCTGTCTGGTACCCCACCTTTGGAGAGATTATTTTAATTAAAATGCTCCCCTTCCAAGAGACCCCTTCCTGGCTTGGAAAAAGTGATGGAGGATCCCCCAACTCCAGCGGCCACCAGAGCACAGGGAATATTTATTACCTCTCTGGATGTCATTACCTAAGAATACAATTTTATGAACTTCCTAATCTGTTAGCTTGATTTATCTGGATGGGCAGGGGCCCAAAATAAACATTGGGGGATTTAGTGGGAAAAATGTCTTTGCCTCAACCAGTCTTTCTGATAGAACTGACCACTTATCTCAGCCTGCTTTTTCTGCACCCCGTATCGTATCGCTAGCCCCATTTAAATTTTTCTCTAAGCCTGTGACTCAGACACTCCTGGTATCTGAGTTTTAGCCGCCTTTTGATAATTAAAAATGGTGGGGTACACAATTTTAATCAGAGACCAGAGGGATCCCTCAGATATCTTAAAACCTGTGCAGCTCAAGGAACTCAGATTCCTTTTGGACTTGGGGATCAGAGAGAAGTGAAAAGCCAACCCCAGATGTGTTCATCTGCCCTCCAAGGCCAGGAGTCCCTGCTTAGACCCGGCTCTCCTTGCAATTCTCAGGGCTTTTCTTCTTCCTTTTCTCACTGGTGCCTGCCAGTTTGGCAGCTTCTTTCAACACAGGGCAGCTCCAGGGGATCCCAATCCATGCAGACAGGGATCAGGGCCTCTGCAGTTCCATCTTCCGGCTTTCTGTTCCTGCCCGGCCCAGCCCAGGCATCAGGAGGAAGGGGAGAAAGGATGGGTGGGAAGTCTCAGCATAAGTTTGAGGGTAAACAGGATCACAAAGTCTAATAAGGGGAAAGGGACCCTTAAATTCCCAATCTTCGTCAACAATCGCCTGATCTGTAGAGTCCTCCAAGGTTTGCTGTGCCTGCCGCTGTGGGTAGGAACGAGGTCAAGCCAAAAGTGTCACCTCTACTTTGTCTTCCTCTCTGACTTCCTCTCTTCTCAGCATCAGAGATTGGGAGACAAACGTATATTTGAATTTCTGGGAGGAGAAACCCTGACACGAGTGTGC